TACACAATAGCATTTTGGAGGCAATTTTTGACAATATATATAGAGACAATTTTTGATAGCATATATAGAGGCATTTGTACATGATTTCAGCTAGATTACTAAAGACCTGCATGCCTGAGCAGCTATACACAAAAGAAGGCATGTCCGACTTAGCATATCCAGAGGCATTTGTACATGATTCCAGCTAGATTAAGACTTACATGCCTAAGCAGCTATACACAAAAGAAGGCATGTTTGAGCAGCTGTACACAAAAGCTTGCATTTGTAACCACTGCGGTCATTCCTATGCACAAAAGCTTGGCCTACATATTCACAACCTAACATGAGTCAAGGCTTTCAGTAGTTGTCCCCAAACAGCAGGTGTTGCAGGCGCCCTCTTGTTTGGCTTGTACCTGCATGGGTTCCTCCCCTTGATGCAGCCTGGGTTCGGCCCCTTCCCCTTATTGGAGCCTGGCTTCCTCCCCTTGTTCCCCTTGTTCGAGCCTAGCTTGATGTTGCTTGACTTGGTCTAGCTTGGCTAGTTGATGTATTTTATGCAGGCTGTTGTACCACTCAGGTAACATAAAGGTTGACAAATGAGAATGTGGCCAGGAATGTAATTGCAAGTAATTAAATGAGCTGCAGGGTGTTGTAACACTCCGGTAACATAAAGATTGACAAATGAGAATATGGCCAGGAATATAATTGCAAGTAATTAAATGAGCACTTACCATCCAAGGAGTAGTCTTCAGCCTCTTAGTAGTAGCAGCAGCAGTAGTGCTTTGCTTTCTTTTCTTCTGCCTCTTGATGTGTGCATTTTGTTTGTTGCCAGCTTCAGGGTTCTATGTAACTCATACCAATGTCTCCGCCAACGTACAAAATGAGCCCATCAATGCTCTGGAAAGACCCACCAAAGTGGAACCGAACAGCAAGAGTATCACTATTGTCCATCCTACAACACATCGATTAATGACAATGAACAAAACTCACAATAAATATAGTATAATTGCAGTTTAGAATCAACAAATTAAAAAAAAGAAATAGCAGTGCTTCAATGTACCATACTGTTTGTTAGCATATAAGGCAGCATAGGCAAGATGTGGTCATCCGAAGGATTGTATCATCTTTGGCTCAAGTACTGCTTGCAAACAACATTATCATCTTCTGGTGTTTTTTTTGGAAAATGTATCACCATCTTTTGCTTGCAGAAAATATTTAGGTTGCCAATTTCTAATGCTAGTGTTACTTTGTAGTTCTATGAACAGCAACGCGGCATCTTTGAGCAATACAATTGCTATTTCTTAAAAAAGGCAGTAGAAAAACAATCCAGTTGCAACATGGAATTGTAGACATTTAGTTTCAGTAACAGACAGCCTGGATGGTTTTGAAGTTCCACTACCTAGCGCAAGGCCATCCATATGCTCAAACGCACAAAATTAATTTGTTGAAACGCTCTACTCTTTCTTTCATTGCATTGCTTTTCATCAGTTGGTGCCAGTACCACCACACCAACATGGGCACGCATGCATTAAACTCAGAACTAAGATATGTTGTCAATATGAACAAATGTGTGTATCTTTGAATCATCGCAAGATACTTAAAGCTCCAGGATTGGAACTGAAAATCTTTCTTATTGATTGGGGAGGAGTATGAGTGGCCTCACCTGACCAACGAGGTGAAGGTGGCACCTGGCTTGATGCGGCCCAATGTGGAGGCGGAGGCTGCGCCCCGCGTAGCCTGGAGGCGATGCGGCACCGGCGCTGATTGGAGGCGAGGCGGCACTGGCGCGGACTGCAGACGAGGTGGCAACGGCGCGGGCTGGAGGCGAGGTGGCACCGGCGCGGACTGGACGCGAGGCCGACGCGGCGGCACCCGGCTTGGAAGCGGAGCCCGTCGCGGCTTGGAGGCGAGGCGGCGACTTGGGCGCGGAGCCAGCGCGTGGTGGAGGTGAAGCGCGCTGCTGGTGGCGTAGGCGGCGCCGACTTGAGCGAGCCCGACACAGCGTGAAGGCCAGCTTGTGTGTGCGTCTTGGCGGAGAGGGCAAGAGAGGGGGATTGGATTTTTTTTTGCTACAGGGGTCCTCCTCTATCACGGTGGATTGCCAGCTGAGCACAACAGCCCCCAAAACCACCCAAAATACCACCTAGGGGGTTAGTTAAACGGTTTAAGAAAGTTTAGGGTGTAGATTAGACGGTTTTAAACCTCAGGGGGTGGATTAACCAGGGTGCCAAACCTTGGGGGGTGTTGTAGACTTTTTCCTATAAAAAAAAGCATTTACCCAGACACCTTAAAGACGGTACTTCCTCCATTCGAAAAAGAAAAAACAATTCTAACATAGTATCAAACTTATATTGAGTTTGACTATAACTATAAAAATATTAATATTTATAATGTCAACTAGTACTATTAAATTTATCGTGAGATATATTTTCATAGTATACCTAAAAATATATTTTTACCTACATAGTTGATCAAACTTTAGATTAGTAGGACCACTGTGACTATGTGATCTTGGCTAGCGCTACTTGAGGAATTTTCTAGAATTGATTTTGGGACATAGCTAACATATTGGTCGTTTGTTCGGCTAGAGAAATTTTAGGCTCCCATTGACAACCCCCTTCCCCTAAATATTGCCTCAGTTCGGACACTGTTCTCTGCAAATCGGGAACATAAAGTTAAAATTGTTAGTAATCACGTATCAGCATGCTGGCCATCCCCTTGCAGACTTATTAAAGTAGGCTGTTTTTATATATATTAAATAATACGTAAAAAGACAGTAGAAACCGGAATGAACACTGCAGTAGCAATAAATGTGAGAATTTGACTTCCATAATCTCTCTATTTTTTTTACAATAACTCAGGGATTACAATAACTCGGGGATAGCTTGAATGAACAATGCAGTAACAATGCGTAGTTTATTCCATAGGAGAACTTACATTCTGACAATACTATTTCGTAATACAGTAAATTGTTAACATCTCCGTACACCAAAAGCAAAAAAAAAAACTCCTCTCACTGTATTTTCAGCTTTTAGTTTATTTTCTCAGAAGCTAACTTTCCACATCAATAAGCTACGTCATTCCCACTAATACATGTAATCATGACATTTATTTATTCATACAAGCTATCCATATCAATAAACTACGCCGTTCACTAATATATATTTACGTCAGCGCGGCGTGGAGGTGAAGTGCGGCGCGCCTGGTGGACGCCGTTCACTAATATATATTTACGTCAGTGCGGCGTGGAGGTGAAGTGCGGCGCGCCTGGTGGCGAGGCGGCGCTCGACTTCGAGCGGAGCCCGACGCGGCGTGAAGGCCGCGGCCTGTGTGCGTGCGGGCGGAGAGGGCAAGAGAGGGGGATTGGATTTTTTTTTTGCTACAGGGGTCCTCCTCTGCCACGGTGGATTGCCAGCTGAGCACAACAGCCCCCAAAACCACCCAAAATACCACCTAGGGGGTTAGTTAAACGGTTTAAGAAAGTTTAGGGTGTAGATTAGACGGTTTTAAACCTCAGGGGGTGGATTAACCAGGGTGCCAAACCTTGGGGGTGTTGTAGACTTTTTCCTATAAAAAAAACATTTACCCAGACACCTTAAAGACGGTACTTCCTCCATTCGGAAAAGAAAAAACAATTCTAACATAGTATCAAACTTATATTGAGTTTGACTATAACTATAAAAATATTAATATTTATAATGTCAACTAGTACTATTAAATTTATCGTGAGATATATTTTCATAGTATATCTAAAAATATATTTTTACCTACATAGTTGATCAAACTTTAGATTAGTAGGACCACTGTGACTATGTGATCTTGGCTAGCGCTACTTGAGGATTTTTCTAGAATTGATTTTTGGACATAGCTAACATATTGGTCGTTTGTTCGGCTAGAGAAATTTTAGGCTCCCATTGACAACCCCCTTCCCCTAAATATTGCCTCAGTTCGGACACTGTTCTCTGCAAATCGGGAACATAAAGTTAAAATTGTTAGTAATCACGTATCAGCATGCTGGCCATCCCCTTGCAGACTTATTAAAGTAGGCTGTTTTTATATATATTAAATAATACGTAAAAAGACAGTAGAAACCGGAATGAACACTGCAGTAGCAATAAATGTGAGAATTTGACTTCCATAATCTCTCTATTTTTTTTACAATAACTCAGGGATTACAATAACTCGGGGATAGCTTGAATGAACAATGCAGTAACAATGCGTAGTTTATTCCATAGGAGAACTTACATTCTGACAATACTATTTCGTAATACAGTAAATTGTTAACATCTCCGTACACCAAAAGCAAAAAAAAAAAAAAACTCCTCTCACTGTATTTTCAGCTTTTAGTTTATTTTCTCAGAAGCTAACTTTCCACATCAATAAGCTACGTCATTCCCACTAATACATGTAATCATGACATTTATTTATTCATACAAGCTATTCATATCAATAAACTACGCCGTTCACTAATATATATTTACGTCAGCATATCACATCATCCGCAAAAATTAATTTATTGGTGATCTTTGCAGCAGCACACGCGATATGCCTCTAATACTCTACTCCGTGGCACGAGAACTAGCAGCAGGATCAGGTGTCCCGTACTCCCGTCTCCGTCGTCCACCTTATTACTTTGTTTACCAACCGGACGACGGCCACGTGCGGGCGACACCGCCTTGGGTCCCGCCGGAGCTCGCAGGCTCCACGCGCCCCCCATGCCATCCCACAGCACATGCCGTGCACCCCTTCGCCTTGACCTCCTTGCCTGATGGCCACCGCACCGCACCACCAGAGCACCACTCCATGCCATCCCACACCACATGCCGTGCACCCCTTCGCCTTGACCTCAGCTATAAATTCAGGGGGTCGCCATTTCCAGTCCTCCAAGACTTGAACAAGGCGTCTTCCCACTTCCACACGAGAAGGAAACGACCACCTCCTCTCCTCCTGACTCCTGAGTCGCGCGAGTCGCGAGTAGTAGTGCATCCAATCCAATCCACAAAAGGAAAGGTTAGCTAACCATGGCGCCGCCGACCGAGGACTGCGGCTGGCTGCTGTACCTCTCCCTGGCCGCCAAATGCGGCGACCCTCACCGCCTGCTCGGCTTCGTGGCGGTCTTCGTCGTGGCCTGCGTTGTCACGTCGCTCCTGCACTGGGCGTCCCCGGGCGGCCCCGCCTGGGGGTGGTACTGGTGGACGCGGCGGGCCGGCGGCCTGGGCATCGTCCGCGCCGCCGCCATACCGGGGCCCCGGGGGCTGCCCGTGCTCGGCAGCATGGCGCTCATGACCGGCCTGGCGCACCGCAAGCTCGCGGCGGCGGCCGAGACGCAGGCCAGCAGGCGCCGGCTCATGGCGTTCTCGCTGGGCGAGACCCGGGTGGTGGTCACCGCCGACCCCGACGTCGCGAGGGAGCTGCTCGCCAGCGCCTCCTTCGCCGACCGCCCCATCAAGGAGTCCGCGTACGGGCTCCTCTTCCACCGCGCCATCGGCTTCGCCCCGCACGGCGCCTACTGGCGCGCGCTCCGCCGCGTCGCGTCCGCGCACCTCTTCTCGCCGCGCCAGATCGCGGCCTCCGCCGCGCAGCGCGCCGTCATCGCGCGCCAGATGGTGGACGCCATGACCGTGACCGTGACCACGACCGCCGCCCCCGTCGTCGTGGCGCGCCGGTTCCTGAAGCGCGCGTCGCTGCACAACGTCATGTGGTCGGTGTTCGGCCGCGGGTACGACCTGCTGGCGGCGGACAGCGAGGAGGCCGCGGAGCTCAAGGCCCTGGTGGACGAAGGCTACGACCTCCTCGGCCAGCTCAACTGGTCCGACCACCTCCCGTGGCTCGCCCGCTTCGACCTGCAGAGGACCCGGGCCAGATGCTCCGCGCTCGTCCCGCGGGTGAACCGCTTCGTTGGCAACATCATCGTCGAGCACCGTGCGCGCCTCGGCCACGGCCTCGGCGGCGATGACACCACGGCCGTCATGGACTTCACCGACGTCCTGCTCTCCCTCCAGGGCGACGACAAGCTCTCCGACGCCGACATGATCGCCGTCCTCTGGGTACGTACGTCGCATGTTGCACCCACCCTGCTCGCTCTCAACTCTTCTTCTCAGGAAAAAGAAAGAAAGATCGAGAAGGTGAACACCTTACACCTTTTTCTGCCTTTGTGGTTTACTTGTGCTCGCGCATGCAGGAGATGATCTTCCGAGGCACGGACACGGTGGCGGTCCTGATCGAGTGGGTGCTGGCCCGCCTCGTCCTGCACCAGGACGTGCAGCGCAAGGTCCACGACGAGCTGGACCGGGTGGTCGGGCCGGGCCAGGCCGTGACGGAGTCGGACACCGCCTCGCTCGTGTACCTCCAGGCGGTCATCAAGGAAGTGCTGCGCCTGCACCCGCCAGGCCCACTGCTCTCCTGGGCGCGCCTCGCCACGTCGGACGTGCACGTCGGCGGGCACCTCGTGCCCGCGGGCACCACCGCCATGGTGAACATGTGGGCCATAACCCACGACCCCAGCGTGTGGCCTGAGCCGACGGAGTTCAGGCCCGAGAGGTTCGTCGTCATGGGCCCTTCCGCTGCCGCTGAGGTGGACGTCGTCCCGATAATGGGTTCGGACCTCCGGCTCGCGCCGTTCGGGTCCGGCCGGCGGAGCTGCCCCGGGAAGTCGCTCGCGGTGGCGACCGTCGGGTTCTGGGTCGCCACCCTGCTGCACGAGTTCAAATGGTTGCCGCCGCCGTCAGACGGCGTCGACCTGTCCGAAGTGCTGAGGCTGTCGTGTGAGATGGCTGCACCGCTGGAGGCGAGGGTGGTGCCACGTCGTCACGCGGTGTGATGACGAGGCTGAGACGTACACGTGGCCTGGCTGCGGAGGACGGAGTTCGTTGCTCGATCGTCTTTCTAGCTTCTACTACTACCGTACCTTACCTTCGTCTAGCAGAAACGTAACGTGGCCCAAGTGCCACATGGTAGCTGCAGCTGGTGGAGTACCACCAGCCGGCTTCATGATGCTTAATTATGCGTGTGTAATGTAACTTACCAGCTGCTGCATGTAATATCTGCCTGTTAGTAGTCTAGGTAGTGTAGTGTACCAGATGATGAGCGTGACAGTTATCTTTTCCTTTTCAATACTGCCTAGCTAGCTAGAGCTAGATGTATTATTTGTGTACTATATATATATATATATATTATATATATATATATCCTAATGCAAGCGTGTGTTGTGTGTACGTGTTGGTGTTATCAGATGTGCGTGCGTACGTCCTTCTCGCGAGCAAAAAAGAAAAATAATAGACCTATTTTGGCAGCAGCAGAGCGGAGGCTTGCTCATCATCATCCGCGATCCGGCGATCCCTTTCTTGCTTTTCCGGCCACGGCCACAGGCCCCCATTTGATGGCGACAATGCGAGATCGATCAGAAGGCAAAGATGGGCTCAATCATGGAGGGACCCAGCAGGTACTATCAGTACATGTTCACTGCATCAGGTTGTACTGGCTGCAGGGCCCGTTGCCATCGCTGTCGGCGCACTCATTCATCGCCGTCAACTGACAGGGAGAATCTTAACGACTGGTGTGCAGCGCTGCTCTGCGTGCTGCTCCATATGGATCGGTCTCACGATCCCTTTGGTCTGTTGTCTGCACTCAGACAGACTGTCAGACAAGTGAATCGGAGCATGATCTGACAGAAACAAACGCGTGCAGGTCGACGATCTATCGTGTTTTCTGTTCTTTGCGCCCAGCTGCCTTAGGAGTCGTTTGGTTTGCAGTCTTATGTGACATCGAATATTTAGATATTAATAAGAAGCATTAAATATAAATTAATTATAAAACCAATTACATAGATGGAGGCTAATTTTCGAGACAAATTGTTTAAACCTAATTAATCTATCATTAACACATGTTTACTGTAGCACCATATTATCAAATTATGGACTAATTAGGTTTAAAAGATTTGTTTCATAAATTAGTCGCAAGTTATGTAATTAGTTTCGTAATTAGTCTATATTTAATATTCCATGTATATGTTAAATATTTAATGTGACAGAAATTTTAGGAGGTGACTACAGAACCTAGGTGACTACAGAACCTATAGCTGCTACAACGGCCCAGACCCCGGACCCCTGATTGCTGATTGTGACTTGGGACACGTGTAATCTGCGACACTGAATAAAACTGCAACACTACTAATAGTACGATTAAAAAAATGCCTCAGAGTGACACACACGTAGTAGTACATGTGTGTGTGTTCGGCTCTGACTAACGGCGTATCGGTTGTAAACATAAATGGTTCCGAAGGAATAAGAGATAGTAATGAGTTATATATTTCTTCTTTTCGTCATGGAGGTGCTTGCAGGACCGGTCCTGAATTTTTACGGCCTCAGGCGAAATAAAAAATTGAAGCCCTTATGTACACATGAACCACGGAACTCTTTTGGGTATTCGAGAAAAAAACACATAAACGACGCCGTAGCCACCGTGACGCACGACTTCAGCAAGAAGATGTTGCGATAGAAGCGCATGTTGTAAGCGTATGTTTCAAGTGTTTCAGACGTTTCAGAGGTATGTTGAAATTGTTTCATATGGATGTTGCAAAAGTAGATCAGGGATGTTGCACGTATTGCAAGTGTTTCAGACGTATGTTGCAATTGTTTCATATGGATGTTGCAAAAGTAGATCAGGGATGTTGCACATATTTGTAAGTGTTTCAGAGGTGTTGTTCAAAATGTTTCATTTGTTCCAGACGTATGTTGTAAGCGTTCTGATCTGGATGTTGCACATGTTTCACACATATGTTGCAAGAATATGTTCGAAATGTTTTAGCTGTTTCAGTCTTATGTTGCAGTGCATGTTTTCATGGTGGCAAGTTGCAAGTGTTTTATCTGATGTTGCATATATTTCACACATATGTTGCAAGTGTATGTTCTAAATGGTTTATTCGTTTCATACGGATGTTGCATTCAAATGTTTCATGTTGCACGTGTTTCATACTGTTTGGAGAGTCAACATGCGCAGGGAGTGATGGTGGCACGACACGGGCGTCGGAGAATGGGCCGCGGCGAGCTGGAGGCCGACGGTCGGGGCGCGATGGGGACGGGGTACGCGTGCGGGACGAGGCGGGCGGCTTCGAATCCAGGCGGACAGGGCGTGCTGCGGGGGCGAGGTGAGTTGTCTGGACGCGTGGGCGCGGCGACAGGGCGGGTGCGCGTGTGGGACGGGAATAAAAATCAGCATCAGCGCACGGGGACAGGCTACGCGGACATCCTATCCAGACGTCCGGACGCTAGCATAGCCCGTTGGGGTGGTTTTGGGGACTTCAGATATTAGTGCATACCTAGTTCATATGAAGCTATGTACACCTCGTTGGAGTCTCACTCCGAGTTGGCCGCCCATCGCGGCGCTGCCATTGAGTTGGGTGATCACGTCGCAGTTGTTGCGTTGTGTTTGGGATTTGTGATTTGGTTCCGAGATGAGAAGTCGCAGCGCAGAGTCGACAAACAAATCACGAACGCCAATCTGCTAGGTTGCCGTCGGCCTTAACGAGCCAACCAAGCCATATACTGATACAGCTACGTACTGAGTGTACACCTGGGGTAGGGGCCCATGGGATTGGGGGCCCAGGGCGGCCACCCCACTTGCCCGCCCTCAGGGCCAGCCGTGGGTGCTTGTCCGGAAAGCTGCTTGCTAAAAAATCCATCCTTAAGATACTCAATTTGCAAAAACAAAGGTAAAACTTTTTTTGCGAACAACAAAGAAAAAACTTTGTTTTCGCAAGATCCTTCATTTTAAATTATTTATTAAAGCAAACCATCGTTTTAGATGTCCCTTGAGGAGTACCAACAAAATTTAAATCACCAACGTGTACAACTATATTATCATAAACTTAGATCAAGGTACACATGTACAAATAGAATCATTCTTTTACCATTGTGTCGTCAAATATTCAATGATATAATTGTACCACATTCACCTAGATTGTTTCAATCCATATTGAAAGGATCAAGATGCCCAAGCAGGGGGGGTGAATTGGGCTAATTCTAAATTTTTACAATAATTAAGCCCTACACTTAGCCCATTTTACCCCTTATGTCTAAAATATGTTTCTATTGTTCTACCGTACAAAAGTTTTGCACCCTAGGTTTCAATCCTACTCTAGCATGGCAATTCTAGGAATGTAAAGACATGAAAAGAATTACTCAAATGTAAATGCTCAAAGTAAAGAGAGGGAAAGGAACACGGCGATGTTTTTCCAAGGTATTGTGTGGCAGAACCTCCTAAGGAATCGGGCCCACATGCACCTATCGTCGTCTTAACAGACCTCGAATAGCGTACACGAGTTCCCAACATCTCAACAGGTCTGTCGGGTGTCCTCGGGAAACCCGAATCATCCACGATTCTCTTTTCAAACAGGATCCCAATCACAGTCATTGTAGATTACAACAGTTTATTCAAATATATACCAGAGTAAATGATAGCGGAAGTCTTAAGATAACATAATTACAAACCAGTTGTTTTCAAACTTATAATACCATAAGTGTTATACAACCATAGTAGCGGGATAATATTACATTAACTTTATTTATCATACAAACTAGTGCCTTGTCCAAAGGCCATTCATCACTCCTCATCATCATTGACTTCAAACACAGACATGCAGCAGGGACCAAAACAAGCTCAAAGCATTCGCTCTCACCTCAACAAGGGTTAACAAACCCGAGTACAAAAGTACTCAACAAGATGACCCGACCAAAAAGGGCGAAGGTCTTAGGGATGCAGGTGTTGGGTCAAGGTAAGGATGTAGAAAGATTCAAAAATTCTTTGCTAAAAGCTTACTATTCTTGATCCTAGTTTTAAGTTTTATCACTAAGTATTTTAGTTCAATATCTCCTACTAAGTGTTCATATCCCATGTTCCAATCCTTCTCATTCCATTCTTTTCTCATGTTTTAGTAATTCACCAGGTCCTACATTGCTTCAGAATGAATCGAGTCTCCATGTCCATGAGCACCGGCAATTCAATTGATTCAAGTCCCAAATGGGATTCCTTATCACACGACATATGTAGAACTTAATCTTGCATATATCAACCTCGCTACTTGGATCCTCCCATACTAAGCCGTCTCCACGCCACCCGAGAGCACAAAGACACCTCAAATCCGAGACACGCTACTCCCGCCATCTCACCACTCCCAAAGTCGTGGGCATTCGCCTTAGTGTCGGATTAGCCAAGTAGGCTTACCGGAGTATGTGACCAAGACTACAAAGTGTCTCGTTCGGAAGATCCACAATGAGTGGCCTTTAAGCGACATAGTCGGCAACATTACCCAACATTCAAGATAAGCCACCCAACTAGTCTCTAGTTCATTCTACCTTCCTTCTTTCTTTCTTTGGCCAGTATGCCATCTTTGATTATATCAAAACTTTTACTTTGAAAAACCTACCATAAAGCATACTAAGCAATTCTACGCCATTGTAAATGAAATCATCTTCAAGGATGGTAAACAATTAACAAGGTAGGCAATGCATCAAGTAGGTAACATTTGAATAAACAACTTAATGCGATAAGTAACATAAGTGATAAAATTTTCAAAGTAAACAAGGTAATGGTGTAATGCATAAACCGGGGCTTGCCTTCGATGACGATTTCCGGTTCCGGATTAGTACCACAATTATCAAATCCCGCGACAACCGGGGATTCTTCCAGAACTTGCTCAACTAGAATCGTTTCGTTCTCGGGTTCTACACGAAATGATAACATATGCTTTAACATGATGATAATGTAAACATGAACGCTTTCACGGTACATGAAATGTAAAAACACCCAAAATGATTTTATTTT